AGTTCTGGCACCTGGACATTGCGCCCAGATGGAGCGAAAGAAGGGACCAATGTGAAAGCTTAGGCTTGAACTGTCGCTCTGCCACGGACCCAACAAAGCCTCCCTCTGCATCAAGCGAGTCTTGCGTACATCCGAGACTCCTCCATGTTTAAAAGATTTTTGTGTATTCCAATCCTACTGCTCGGCAAGGCTTGGCCTGGACAGGTTGAGAGGCGCTGCAGGATCCGAAAAAAACTTGGATGCGTGGCTCAGAATCAGCCACGTCTCTCAGGCCTCTAGTCAGTACCACCCGAGATAGCGAAATCAAGCATGAAACACCTGTTCATTACGCCTTTCTCGTGGGACTGCTTTTCACGATGGCGTTTCGCTCCGGATCAAGCTTAGCTACCGACACGCACTGCAATTTGGGCTCCAGCGCAAGGTGCACACGGGCCGGCCCCACCTGTGGCATCAATCCACTCCGACGTTTTGACATTGGAGCCACAAGCAGAACATCCACTTGTCAGTGGCAGTCTGGGCAATCATGGTCAATCAAATCTAGGCTTCGGGCAGTCAGCCACGTTGGCTCCTGCGCTGCATGTTATCGAGTATCCCTCCAGAATGCTGTCTACTGGTGAGTACCATCGGTATCGTCACGTCACGTGTAAATGAATGGTCCTTTGCTGCGTCTTCGTGCTTTGCATCGGAAGGTGCAGGAGCAGCTCGCTGCGCCATTGCTATCATTTCTCGACAGAGTCTACAGAGTCATTGTCGCCATAGGTGCCCATGTCACCGTGGCGATACTCGGGCGGCAGCGAGGCATGGTCATCTCCGACAATGTCTGGCAGGTCGTCGACATCATGGCTGCTCGTCGAGCAACGATGCACATGGTGAATGACGTGCACGTGGCCGTGGCCAATGTGTTGGGTCACCCCTGTGACAATCGTCTTCGTCAACCCATCCCCTTGCCATGTTCCCGGGCAGCCCCTCTGCTCGTGGGAGCAGCACCAGCTCTTCTTCGTCTTGGAACAGCCGAAATGCCAGTTCTTGAAGCCAGCAACGGAGTCATAGTAGCGCTTCTGAATCACATGCTGAACCTTGGTCACTGGAACTTCCTTGTAGATGGTCTTGGCCGGCATGGGAACTGGCACGTGGACGACCTTCCCGGGATTCCCTGGCACATGAACATGCTTCTAGCGGTATGTCGGCGGCGACGGCACGGGCTCGGGCACATAGTGCTTCTTCGTGACGTAGTGCTTCACGACGCGAGGTGGCCCAGCAGTCTTGATGACGGGGCTGGGATCCTTGCAGCTTCGTTACAAGAACCCCACTAGTGTCACTAGTGATACGAAGCCTCAGTGCATTGACTGACCCGTTCAAACGAGCCGCATGGACGGGAACCTTGACGATGTGATTGATTTCGCGAGGCGGGGGCGCCGGCACGACGACTTTCTCTGGCACGGTCACGTGATGAACGTGCGTGATAGTCTTGTAGTGGTTCCTCGACAAAAGCTACTGCATGCTACTGCAACGAGCCCTGGCCCTGTGCCGCTTGGTGTATGCCCTGCTGCATACCTCTTCCAAAACTCCTTGACTGTGCACGTCCCCTGGCTTCAGTCGAGATTCCGGTACTGAACCTCAGCAGGAGAAGCAACCCAGCAATTCGAGTCGCCATCCTAAACCAGGAAATCTTCACACTAATGCCCGCCTTCGTCACGCAAGCCTCCTTGAACTTGTA